TGGGGACGCCTTGGTGGCACCTCGGTGGCGTCTTGGTGGCACCTTTGGGACATCTTGGGGACATGGTGCCACCCTTTGGGGACGCCTTGGTGGCACCTCGGTGGCGTCTTGGTGGCACCTTGGGGACACTTTGGGGACGTCTTGGGGACATGGTGCCACCCTTCGGGGACGCCTCGGTGGCACCTAGGGGACACTTTGGGGACACCGTGGAGAGGATGTCGTGCCTTGGTGGCACTTTGGGGACATCTTGTGCCACCACCCCCTTGGTGGCACCTTGGGGACATCTTGGGGACACCATGGAGGGGACATCGTGACTTGGTGGCACCTTGGGGGTGTTGTGTCACCCCCCTTGGGGACACCTTGGTGGCACCTTAAGGACACCTTGGTGGCACCTTGGGGACAATCATGGATGTCGTGCCACCCCCCTAGGGGACACCTTGGTGGCACCTTGAGGAGACTGTGGGACGTGGAGGGGGACATTGTGCCTTGGTGGCATCTTGGGGACATTGTGCCACTCCCTTGGGGGCACCTTGGGGACATCATCATGCCACCACCTCCTTGGGGACACCTTGATGGCACCTTGGGGACATCTTGGTGGCACCTTGGGTACATGGTGCCATGCCCTTGGGGACACCTTAAGGACACCTTGGTGGCACCTTGGGGACACCTTGGGGACATTGTTGTGCCACCCTTGGGGACACCTTGGTGACATCGTTCCACCCTTTGGGGTCACCTTGGTGGCACCTTGGGGACATCTTTGGGACATCGTTGTGCCACCTTTGGGGACACCTCGAGGACACCTTGGTGGCACTTTGGGGACAATCAATGGACGTCGTGCCACCACCTTGGTGGCACCTTGGGGACATCTTGAGGACGTCGTTGTGCCACCGTTGGGGACACTTTGGTGGCACCTCGAGGACACCTTGGTGACATCGTGCCACCTCCTTGGTGACACCTTGGGGACGTTTGGGGGACAATCATGGACGTCGTGCCACCACCTTGGGGACGTTTTGGGGACACGGTGCCACCCCCTTGGGGACACTTTGGGGACAATCACGGATGTCACACCGCCTCTTTGGGGACGCTTTGGTGGCACTTTGGGGACGTCATCGTGTCACCCTTAGGGCCACGATGGGTCACCCTTGGGGACAGTGGGGACATTGTGCCACCCCCGGGTGTCACTTTGGGGTCACTGTGGGGCATTAAAGGTCCTGGGGACACTTTGGGGACATTGTGTGCTGCTTGGGGACGCCGCGGTGGCACTTGGGGACAATTGGGGACACTTTTGGGGACGCTTCGGGGTCGTTATTGGGGTCACCGTGGGGACACTTTGGGGTCATTTTGGGGACAATTTGGTGCCGTCTCGAGGTGACAGCTGGGGATACTTTGATTTGGGGACACTTTGGGGACATTAGGGGACACTTTGGGGGCACTTCAGTGCCACCTTTGGGGACACTGGTGCCATTTTGGGGACAATTTTCTGCCATTTTGGGGACACTTTGGGGTCATTTCAGTGCCTACTTTGGGGACGCTTTGGTGCCATTTTGGGGACACTTTGGGGACATTTTGGTACAACCATGGGGACACTTTTGGGGACACTTTTGGGGACATTTCAGTGCCACATTTGGGGACGCTTTGGGGACACTACGAGGTGACATCGTGGGGACGCTCTGGTGCCATTTTGGGGACACTTGGATGTCATTTCAGCGCCACTTTTGGGGACATCATGGGGACACTTTGGTACCACTTTTGGGGACAACTTGGTGCCGCTTTGGGGACATTTTGGGGACATTTGAATCACGTGACCTCAGCAGTCCCACCCGGGATTCGAACCGGCGGCTCTCCAGCGGAGCCCAGTGGGCGGGGCTCAGCGCGTAGCCACGCCCCCTTCGCGGCGCAAACACCGCTGGTGCGACGCTGCCTCTGACGTCATCAGAGCGCGCCGCACGTCGACGTCATCAGAGCGCGCCGCGCACAGCGCAGCGCTGGTTGCGGCGTCGGAGCGGCGTTCTGTCGCGGCGTTCTGTCGCGATATGGCGAGCGAGTTGGACATCTTCGTGGGGAACACGACGCTGATCGACGAGGAGGTGTACCAGCTATGGCTGGACGGCTACTCGGGTGCGATATGTCGCGATATCCCTCCCAACTCCTCCCCACCTCCTTGTGTTGTGATGTACCCATCCCATAATATCCCGCATCCCAGCATATTTCAGACCCCC